CGGCGCCCGGGGAGCAGTTGGGGGTTCAGTTCTTGCTCAAGGTGATGGTCGTGGTACTGAAGGTGGAAGAGAGCGCTGTACATTCACTCCCCCCACCTACAATCCCTGCCGGTACGAGACTCGAACCCGCAACCTTTGGGTTACGAGTCCGACTCTCTAACCATTAGGCCACGACTTCCCCTTAAAGTAAATGCGCTGGCCGGGGACCATGCACCATTTGGTTACCCAGATTCTATCATAAGCTCAGAGGGGTCAGACTGGTGGAAAGGCTTGTAAACATCATGGTCGATTAATGCCAGAAAATGGCAAACACCTGAGATCGGCTCAACAGAACCTGGATAAGCAAACACTGCGATTAGGGATAAGGGAACAATCCGGACAAATGTTGAATGTTGGTTTGAGAACGATTTATCTGAAAGAATTACACCTTGCCTAACCAAGTTGAGAGGGGATTTTTCCCATGGTACAGTAGATCACATATGTTATAGATACTGAAATTCAGAATCCAGTCATTTCTAGTCTAGAGGGCTATAAAATTGGAAAGACATCAACATACTCCAACCTTCTGCGGTCATGATTTCCTAATGCTCTAATCGATCCAGCGATGAAGTATGAACAAATTGGTTTTAGGAACGTCAATATGGTTAAATTGTGAGATTAGGATTATTACTGGAGTTTAACATTTTTATCAACTGCGTTTCATTTGGGCATGTGTTTTATGAATGCCTACTTATGCTCTAATAAGGCATATATTTACAAACACACACTGTAATAAACCATTTAACCAAAATGTATATTTTATGTGTGTATTACCATGTTTTAAAATTAATATCAAAAGTCGTTACATTATGAAGGCTGGTGTTAATCATTGCTCTTCGTTGTCCAAAGTTTGCCTTCTCTATGCCCTTTTGTTTTTTCAAGTATATTAATCAACATCTGTCTTCAGTTGTAAATCCAAAGCACATTCACCTATGACCACACACACACAATACAAAAAAACTCAAGTTATTCACTAACTTACTTGCACAATGTCCTGACCAGGGAAATTATATTTGATTATTAGCAGCTGTGTGAAGCTGGTTCAAACAGAAACTCATCTTTACATGGAAGAGTCTGCTTTGTTGCATTGTCTCTGGTTACGCACATTCATTTAATTACGCATTTAAAAAAACAGCTCATACAATTATATGAATGATACCTGCTGTAATAATTGAATGCAGTCATCCAGCGATCGGTCCACAGCAAAGACAAAGTCATGAACCTCATCTTCATTCTCCATAGAAGTCCAGAACGGCTGAGGAAGAGCAGAAACAGTCTTCCTCCTCACCAGACGAATGGGCATGGGGGGCGTTTATATGTGATGCCCCTCGAGTCCCTCCAGTCCTGAAGCTTACGCCTGCACACACAGCACTTCAGCTACGCTTTGACCCATACACGAACAATAAAAGATACTTTCCCCGGGGTGTGCGATATTGACAAAAATATATATTTTAATATTCAATATTTTCTCGAAATTTTATCGATAACGATAACTAGACGATATTTTGTTATTGTGCTGATATTTTACTGTGGCCAGCTAACTCCTGAAGTTTCTGATATTCTTCATATTCTGTGTGGTGGTCAGTTCACAGCAGTGATAGAAATTAATCTTTTCAAATAGGCCGAGACAGACGGCTGCACGTGAGTGTCCTGCGTAATACTTGGTTATAGATCTGCTGTTGGAATTATTACTTGCTGCTAAGAAGGAATATTTCGTTTTCTGCCTATTTCTACGTTATATTTTTGTTTGCGTTTGTATTTTTGATTGCACTTTCTGGTAATTATAATAACTGCCCTCGGCTAAGAAGGAGCGCGTGTAATTTAATTGCTCCCTTCCTGCGTTTAAGTGTGAACTGTAGTTTCGATTGGAGGAATTGCCCTGCTATAGACTATTGGCTGTGCTAATTAGAAGGCGGCCACAGCTGTTTTCACTGTAGTGTCTTAGACTGTGTATTTATCCGATGTCTGTGCGCTGACGCGGAAGCATCAGCGGAAGCGTTCAGGCCTCCTTGTGGGAAGACCAACGAGTGTAAAGACCTGCGACTTTACCTGCGCGACTTCACCGAGCAACGAAATCGCCAAGGCACTTAAGTATATTTTTGCTCTTCCCTGTACACACTCTTCTTTTCTGTCCTCTCTTTCCCACCTCTATCATGTTTTTTCCAAACCATTCCGGTTGTCTCTCGACGACGCTCTACGGTCACACGCAGACGGCAACGCAATGTTGCTAACCTGCATCCTATCTCTACATCCTCTACTACACCTCTTTCTTTCTCTATGGGTCTCTGGAATTGTCAGTCAGCTGTCAACAAAGCAGACTTCATTTCTTCTTTTTCTTTAAACTCCACACTTAGCATCTTGGGCTTTTTGGCGTGTTACAAGCTGATTGTGCATAGATAAGATCCCTGAAGTTGCGAAGACTAAAGTCTCAAAACCAAAGAGATATTCTTTATCAAAGTTAAGAGTCAGCCACGCCCCCTAAAACGGCTCGTTCTAACACACCCCCACATGTCTACATCACTATGTGGGAAGATTTGCATAACGCCGCCCAAATGTTCACCCAAAGAAAGAAGGCGTGACTTTTATTCTCGCTGTAGTATTGCTGCAGCCGCCATGTCCTGAAGACGCTGTGTGTTTCGTTGTGAAAGCGAAACTACTTTGTTAGGTCTTCCAAAAGAGGACACGACTAGAAATCAGTGGTTAAGTTGTATTTACAACACTGTTCCAGAACACTTCAA